TATTAGTAATCGTAGTAGTGGTAGTAGTCGTCGTAGTAGTAGTCGGAGTAGTAGTAGTAGTAGTAGTAGTAGTAGTCGTAGTAGTAGTAGTAGTAGTAGTAGTAGTAGTAGTAGTAGTAGTAGTAGTACTCGTAGTCGTAGTCGTAGTCGTGGTGGTGGTGGTGGTGGTGGTGGTAGTAATAGTACTGTCCCCCTGGATGGCAAGATATAGCAGTCGATTCCTCAGAAGTGCAGGCCCCATAGTGCAGGCTCTAGTAGTAGAGTGCCCAGTAGTGCAGGCTCCAGCAGTGCAGGCTCTAGGAGTAGAATCCCCAGTAGTGCGCACTTCACGACAGCGCCGCGGATGGCGCAGCAACGCGCTCAGCAGCGCACTCATCTGCCTTGGAGGTGTTGAAGGTGTGAGCTCATTTAGGGATCTGCTGCAGCATCTTTGCTGGGTGGGTTGTGCAATTCTGGAGGGGTTGCGGGTTGCTGGGCTGCTGGGGGGGAGGGGTTTGCCGACGACCTGGGGCCCAGGTCGCGGGTTGCCTCTGAAGGACAACCAGGGCGTGAGAAGCCCGTGGGCCAGGGCCGCAGAACCCAACTCGTCCTTATTGTTGTTGAGCTCTACATCAAAACAGGGATAACAGCAACTTTCAAGCGGAACATGAGCCGCACTCCAGAGCGAAAGAGCGCCAACGCAGACTCGAGCGCGGACGCGAACGTCGAGGCGGAGACGCCTTTACACGAACAAATGCGATGCTTTGGGCCGGGGCCAGCCACTGTTTTTCACAGGCCGTCCCCTCGAGCGCCGCCGCCGCACACCAGGCGAAGCGCCACTTGTCCATGTGTCCGGCCGAGGATAGCCGGGCGCGCCGCGCTCTGCCGTGCAGGCCCAGCCTGCGAGCCGACTGCACATGGGGTGACCCTTCGCCAGAGTGACCTTCGGTGCGGGCCCAGTGGGGTCTCCCCTTTCGCCGAGCGCGATGAGACAGCAGCGTCTTGCGCGCTTATGTTTGGTCCTCCCGCGGCCCCCCAAAAGCCGCGCACTAAAGGTCACTCTTACCCCCGGTCGCTCTTGCGTGCAGCCGAGCGAGCGGCTGGGGTGGAGGATCGAAGGCTGCACAAGAAACGCGCCCCAGATTTTCTCTGCTGTCAGCACCCTGGGGGCCGGCTCCGGGCCACGGGGCCGTCCTGCATCGCTCCCAGAGGAGTACGTGAGCTGGCCAGGAGGGGCCCCAGGAGGGGTCCCGGGACCAGTCAGGGCGCCCCCCAGAGATCCGATGTCGTGGCTTCTTCAATGCGCGGTCCCCCGAAGTCTCGACCCATTCCCCAGGACCGGTTTTTCATCCTGAGTCGTTTTTGGACGGTCCCGGGGCCTGGCGAGGGCCCCTAGGAGGCCGACGGCTGAGAAAAGCCTCCGTCTGGTTTTTTCTTCAATGCGCTGGCTCTCTGGGGCTGCTCGCGGTCCGATTCGCTTCGCTTCGAGCTTCGCTCTGCGATTCTGGTCTCCACCCGGTCCAGGGCGCGAAGCGGGGCCCTCTCTCCGGCCTGCGGGGGCCCAGGCGGATCTCCGCGCCCTTCCACGCGGTCCGGTCCCGAGCCCGGTGCTGCGCAGCTGCGGGCGCGGCCCTGTCCGTTTTCGCTCCGATCTTAGGGGAACAAAAAGCGACATAAATATAAAAACTCGGAGGTCCGCGCGGATTTCTCGGATCGGCGCTGGGCCCCCCGGCGGCGCCTCCGGCGCCGCCCCTGGCGCGCTCCGCGCGCCAGGGAGGGGGGTCCAGCGCCGATCCGAGAAATCCGCGCGGACCTCCGAGTTTTTATGTTTATGTCGCTTTTTGTTCCCCTAGATCTCCGAGCATTTTCTTCGGGTGGAGGGCAAAGGGTGAAATTGGCGTCACCCCAACACACTTCTATACTATATGTGCGTCGCCCTCCCAGGGGCGACGCGCGCACCGAGAAATCTTCTAGTGTATGCGTCGTGGCGGGCGCTTTCTGGCCACACCGCTCGGGAAACACGACATACTACAAGATGGGTGTGCTATATGTTCGGGTCGGACGCGCGCCTCCAAGGAGAACATAGAGTACTAGTATGTCTCTGTGCGTCCCATGAAATCTGAAATGCCGTTTTGATGGATTTTCGAGCCCTGAATCTGCAGGAGGTGAATCACAGGACGGATCGGTTTTCGAGGTGCACGCGTCACATGGATTTCACCCTAAGCCCTCCACCCTGAGAACATGCTCAGGATCTGATTCTGCGGTTCGATCCAGCTCAAGCCTGCCAGAAAGTTGCTTTGAAGTGCACCTGCTTTCTCAAATCGTGCCTTGGCTTCCTCGCCCTGTCAAGGTGTCTTCCGACCTGGCCTTCGGTCGGTGTGTGGCGGCATCCGGAGTTTCACGCCAGTTGTTGAAGCACACTGTCCGCTCCAGCTCCCATTTCATCTCGCCGAAAAAGATTCGGGGGGCCCGGAGGACTTCGGCTCTATGCACAGCCTGAACCACCTGCGCCTCTGCGGCAACCAGCTGAGCGCGCTGCCTTCTGGCTTCGGTGGCGCCTCCGAGGGCTCGGGGGGCTCCAGCGGAGTCAACCACTTGCACCGATGCCGGCCACCCTGGTCCTGGGCCCAGGATCGGTGCATATGATCCCGGGTCCTCCTCCCCAGGGTCCATTTCGATCCGATCGATCCGATTCGATTCCGATTTTGGCTGGCCCTATCCGATTCGATTCCGATTGCCTGGTTCGATGTTGACTGATTCTGTCCCCTCTGACGGGATGGCTCCCGTGAGTCAACGGCTCCCCTCAGATGGGAACGGGGGGGCGGCGACGACGATGTCCTCGAAGACGACGAAGAGGACGAGGATGACGATGAGGACGAGGACGAGTACGATGATGACGTCGCCGAAGGAGACGACGAGTAAGAGGAGGAAGAGGAGGAAGACGACGAGGAGAATGACGACGAGGACGAGGACAACGATGACGGTGACGACGACGACGACGACCTCCAGGCCTCTGCACCACAATGCCACACCACACCAGCAGGGCGGGGGCACCGCAGCACCGTACCACACCCACGGGGGATGGAGCAGGGGGGCCCGAACCCACCAGCATTGGGGGGTGAAGGGCCTGGATCTTGGATCATAATGTGACTGTGCGCATCTGGTCAGGTCAGGAGGATATACAGCGCCCAATTGCCAGGGTGCGTCGCCTAACTTTGGTGGTGATTGTGGAGGAGGAGGCGGAGGAGGAGGAGCAGGAGGAGGAGGAGGAGGAGGAGGAGGAGGAGGAGCAGAGGGAGGAGGAGGAGGAGGAGGAGAGTAGGAGCGAAGGGAGCGAGGTAGGGAGTAGGAGGAGGAGGAGGAGGAGTGAGGAGGAGGAGGAGGAGGAGGAGGAGGAGGAGGAGGAGGAGGTCGCCGGCATGGGAGCGGGAGGGGCCGGATGCCACCGCCTCCCACTCATTCTCTTTTCGCCCACAAGCGTACGCCTCTTCTTCAGTCTTCAGAATACAGAAGCTCCCGATCAATTGCGGAGCGGCCGGCTAGTAGGGAGCGTAGCTGGGCCAGACCAGGAGGAAAGCGGAACTTTTAGGCCCCATTTCCCGAACAGGGAGTTCCGCCTGGGGCGGAAATATGGGCAATTAGTGAAGTTTGATTAGCCCGCGGAGTAGGGAATGTGGAGTTTCATCGGCACGACGGAGCGCCTTGCTTTCTGGGGGCGCTGGCCGGCGGAAAGCCCCCGACGGTGCGCCTTGCGTCGCAGCCGAAAGCACGTCTTGGGGCACGGTGCAGTCTCAACAGGTTGGCGTGGAACATCCGACCGATGAGGCGAATCTGTTCCAGGAGCTCGTCGGGGGAAGCCTTCGATGCGGCTCCAAACGCCCCGGCAGCAAGCACTGCGGGAGCGAGGACACAGCCTCGGCTTGCTGGCGGCAAGCACCTGACCGGCGAGACAGGTGAGCAGTACTGGGCGCGCGTCGGCCAGGAGCCCTCCAGGCGGTGCCTGGACACGGCCGAAACGACGTCTGGGGCCAGGCCTCACCTGGCGCCTCGGCCGAAAGCACGTCTTGGGGGCGCCGTCTCGGGCCCGCGCTTTCAGCCGTGCGCCGCCGTGGTTTCTTTCTGGAGGACGGGCTCGCACTTCTCGCATTCGGCTGCCCTCGATGATGCAGTCGCGCAGATGTTGTGTCCAACTCTGGGGCGGACGCCCCCTCCAAGGATGTGGAGGCGGTGCCAGGATTAAGTCGGGCCTGTCCCCCTCCAGGAGGCATATGCGAAAACAGTAAAAATTAGCCTGGCGAAGGACCCAACCATATGCAGTTGAGAGTACCGCAATTGTGAATATCTTCTTCGGTGGCGCTCCCTATGGGGCCACGAGCCGTATGAGGGGTGTGCCGAAATGCGTGGCAGTGTACACAACACGAACGAAGACGATAGGTCCGAATATGAAAGCTTGAGCGCGTGGGAGTCGGATCGCGAGCGAGTCTGATTATGAATGAATCTGCGCGCGATTGATTCTATTCGCATGAATGCGTGCATGGATACGCCCAGTGTAAATGTATGTATACGACTGTGAACAGTTTGGGTCTGCGTGACTCTCGGTACTCGTGACTCTGAGCGTCGCCTCTGCAGGGGCTTCCCTGGGAACCCCGACGGCAGCGCCCGCGCGCCGCGACGCCCATGTCGGCACGCCACACACCTGGTGTGCGGTACGCATGCGGACGGCAGCACTGGGGCCTTCGGTGGAGCTCCCTGTGGGGCCACGAAACGTGTGAGGGGTGTGCCGAAATGGGTGTGCGGGACGCATGCGGACGGCAGCCATGGGGCCTTCGGTGGAGCTCCCCTATGGGGCCACGAAACGTGTGAGGGGTGTGCCGAAATGGGTGTAGGGGACGCATGCGGGCGGCAGCCCTCGGGCCTTCGGTGGAGCTCCCTATGGGGCCACGAAACGTGTGAGGGGTGTGCCGAAGTGGGTGGCGGGACGCAATGCGGACGGCAAGCCATGGGCCCTTCGGTGGAGCTCCCTATGGGGCCAACGAAACGTGTGGAGGGGTGTGCCGAAATGGTCTGCGGGACGCGGTGGCGGACGGCAGCACTGGGGCCTTCGGTGGAGCTCCTGTGGGGCCGAAAACGTGTGAGGGTGTGCCGACCATGGTGTGACGGGGAACGCGCATTGCGGACGGCAAGCCATGGGGCCTTCGGTGGAGCTCCCTATGGGCCCACGAAACGTGTGAGGTGGTGTGCCGAAATGGGTGTGCGGGACGCTGCGGACGGCAAGCACTGGGGCGCTTCGTGGAGCTCCCTGTGGAAGCCACGCTCACGAAACGTGTGAAGGGTGTGCCAAAATGGGTGTGCGGGCACACCCACTGGGACCGTCTGTGGAGCTCCCTATGGGGCCACGAAACGTGTGACGGGTGTACCGAGATGTGTGTGCGGGACGCATGCGGGCACACCCTCTGGGACCTTCGGTGGAGCCCCCTCTGGGGCCACGAAACGTGTGAGGGGTGTGCCGAAATGGGTGTGCGGGACGCATGCGGACGGCAGCATGGGGCCTTCGGTTAAGCTCCCTATGTGGCCAGAAGTGTGAGGTGTGCCCGAAATGGGGTGTGCGGGACGCATGCGGACGTGAGCTTGGGGCCTTTCGGTGGAGCTCTCCCTGTGGGGCCACGAAAACGGTGTGGGGTGTGGGCCGAAATTGGTGTGGCGGACCAATAGCGGACGCAGCCATGGGGCCTTCGGTGGAGCTCCCTATGGGGCCACGAAAGCGTGTGGAGGGTTGCGGCGCGTACTGAGTGTGGCGGGACGCATGCGGACGGCGCCACTGTGGCCTTACGGTGGAGCCCTATGTGGGCACAAAACGTGTGAGGGGTGTGCCGAAAATGGGTTGTGCGGGACCTGCGGACGGCACCATGGCGGCCCTTCGGTGGGGCTCCCTATGGGGCCACGAAACGTGTGAGGGTGTGCCGAATTGGGTGTGCGTGACGCATGCGGGCGGCAGCACTGGGGCCTTCGGTGGAGCTCCCTATGGGGCCACGAAACGTGTGAGGGGTGTGCCGAAATGGGTTGTGGGGAGGCATGCGAACGCAGCCACTGGGGCCTTCGGTGGAGCTCCCTATGGGGCCACGATACGTGTGAGGGGTGTGCCGAAATGGGTTTGCGGGACGCATGCAGACGGCAGCCATGGGGCCTTCGGTGGAGCTCCCTATGGGGCCACGAAACGTGTGAGGGGTGTGCCGAAATGGGTGTGCGGGACGCATGCGGACGGCAGCCATGGGGGCCTTCGGTGGAGCTCCCTGTGGGGCCACGAAACGTGTGAGGGGTGTGCCGAAATGGGTGTGCGGGACGCATGCGGACGGCAGCCATGGGGCCTTCGGTGGAGCTCCCTATGGGGCCACGAAACGTGTGAGGGGTGTGCCGAAATGGGTGTAGGGGACGCGTGCGGGCGGCAGCCCTCGGGCCTTCGGTGGAGCTCCCTATGGGGCCACGAAACGTGTGAGGGGTGTGCCGAAGTGGGTGATGACGATGACGATGACGACGATGACAATGACGATGATGATGATGATGATGATGATGATGATGATGATGATGATGATGATGATGATGATGATGATGATGATGATGACGATGACGATGATGATGATGATGATGATGATGATGATGATGATGATGATGATGATGATGATGATGATGATGATGATGATGATGATGATGATGATGGGAGGAGGGAGGAGGGGGAGGAGAGAGGAGGAGGAGGAGGTGGGACGCGGGGCGCTGTCTCTTCAAAACGAGGACCCAACACCACAGGATGGTTGGGAACAATAGTCTGGGGGGACGACTTTTGGACCATCTTCTGGCATGCCTGGAGCATTTTTGTGGGGTATTTCTTTTTTCCGTTTTCGTCCAAAATGCGCCTGCAGGGGGACGGCCCGACTTCATGCCAGGAACGGCCCCAGGCTGTCTTGCGCTCCCCGTCGCGCGGGTTGACGGCCGGCGGCAGGCGGGGCGCCCCCCAGTGGCAGGTGCGGCGGGCGGCGGGCGCCGAGGTGCGGGCGGCGCGCCCCTGCCCACCCGTTGGGGGCGGCCCTCCGCAGCGGCGTCCCCGCTGCCGGCGCGATGTCTCGGGCACGCCATCCCTCCAGAGCCTGGGTAGTCGAAGGCCAGACTGTCAGATTGGATTGGGCCCCAAGGGCCAATCTGGCCCGGCCAAACTGGAGGATTTGGGTTATTCGCCAGACTGGATTCGCGTTGGCTCCCTCGCCAGATTGCCCCCGTTTGCCAGATTGGGCCTGCCAGATTGGCTTCGACTACCCAGAGAGCTCTCTCGCGGGCTCCGTCCTACAGTCGAGACGCTGAAGCAAGGAGCACTTTGGGTTCGGAGGGGCCTCGATGTTCCGTAGGTTCCTCCGGTGCTGTTCCTCTTGCCCTCCCGGGGCACGGAGGCGCTTGCAGGGCCTCGTTCCTTCTTTGGCGTTCCTTCTTTCAGCGGCCCGACGGTATGAGAGCTCCATCTCACGAGAGCGGCGCAGCACTCCGTGACGAGGTGCCCAGGGCGCGATTCAGGCACCTCGCCGGCTCCAGGAAGACCCTGGAGGGTCGCGCCAGATCGAACGCC